GTACATTGTGGCCTTCTCTTTGCTACAGAGCTTTGAAAATGAAGGGATCAAAACTGAAACACAGAGTCAAAGAATCATACAATCATAAAATAAAAAGGAACCTGACAATAATCTAATTCAACTCCATGTCAGGTCAGGAATACACAGGAAAGCATTTCTGAGAAAGAACCATCCAATCTTTGGTTAGACATTTCCAATTAAGAAGAAGCCATTGCCTTCCAAAGCACACCTCTCAGTGGTGTTGCTATTCATAATAAATGCAGAAAAAGAGTGTGTCTGCATTAAACAATAAAATATTATATACAAATCCCCTAAAATTTAAATTCCTTTTTTGTCCTATGATCAATGATAACATAATCAACCAACACAGAAGCAGTGGGACATTTTTAGAAAAAAAGGAAGGAGTGGGCAGATATTTCTTGTTGCAAAGCCTTCAAGGTTTCAAAACATTTAAAGCATAATGAGACAGAAGGAAAATTGCTTTTTGTATTTTATCCCTATCCCCCCCCCCCCCCAATATTGAATCAAACACAGTGTTGGGAACCTTTGACTCTCCTGATGTGGGCTACAATTCTCTTACTCCATTACACTTAGATGTGCTGGTGGGACCATTGGTATTTTTAGTCAAAATATCTGAAAAAATAAAATTGCCTCTTCCCAACTGAGGACATGGTGAGTTTGTGATAAGATGTCTTACTTCTAAATGGAATCTTAGTACTTGGAAAATGGTACTGATGGTAGAAATTGTGTTATCTTTTCCATTAGATGAGAGCCATGCAGAAAACAGAGATGAGAAATGAAACAATAATCACCGAATTCCTTCTTCTTGGCTTCGGAGATGTACAGCAGCTACACATTTTTCTGTTTATAGTATTTCTGGTAATCTACATCATGACTATGGTTGCAAATCTTCTCATGGTTGTACTAGTTGTGACTGATCAGCATCTACATACCCCAATGTATTTCTTCCTTGGGAATCTGTCTTGCTTAGAGACTTGCTACAGTTCTACTATCCTCCCCAGAATATTAGCTGGTTTATTAGAGGAAAAGCAAACTGTTTCTGTTAATGGTTGTATTGTTCAGTTGTGGGCATTTGTTTTCCTGGCTGTAACAGAATGCTATCTCCTAGCAGCAATGTCTTATGATCGTTACGTAGCAATATGTAAACCCCTGCATTACTCCACACTTATGAATTTCAAGATTTGTTTCCAGCTCATAGCTGGATCTTGGATTGGTAGTTTTGTGATAGACACCATATTGTTGATATTTATATTGCAGTTAACCTTCTGTGGCCATAATGTCATTGAGCATTTCTTTTGTGATTTCATTCCCACGGTGAACCTAGCCTGTGGTGATACAGAGGAAGTCAAGCTTGTTTCAGCTATTCTGACTTCAATCTCTACCCTGCCACCATTTGTTTTAACCATAGCTTCCTATGCATACATTATTACTGCCATACTTGGGATCTGCCACAGAGAGGAAGAAAGCTTTCTCTACTTGCTCATCCCACCTCATTGTTGTGAGTATTTTCTATGGTAGCCTCACCATTGTTTATCTTTTGCAAGACAGCAATGAACTGAAAGATCTGAACAAAACCTTCTCAGTCTTCTACACCATCCTGACACCTTTGATCAATCCCCTCATATATAGTTTAAGGAACAAAGAAGTGAGAGAGGCTTTGAGGAGAGCAGCTTGCAAATGGGCAAAGTTTATTGATTTGTTTCTTTTGAAGACCTCCTCTTCCTATTGAAACTGCAAGGTATTAAACCTAGCTTTCTCTCAGTGACAATAAACATCTAAAACCAGCAGGACTTAGATGTAAATTATCAGATAATTCCATCTATTCTATGGTAGGGATTTAAAAGGAGTATGCAATTTAAAGCACATTTCACCCTAACCACTTCCCAATGCTACAAGATCAAGGGAGGGTTTCTTTCAGGCAGTATAGGCATATTAAGCAACAAAAAAGAAGTTAACATTCTCTCTTGTAGTGCCTTGTAACTAAATCAATCATTGTACCCTTTCTGATGTGAGATCAAAATTGGTTTCTTTACCAAAGTAATAATTTAATTTTATGTAATGTAAACGTGTAAATTTCCTGTTTTTCACTGCTCTTTTCAAATTATACCTGCTGTTGCAATGTGCAAACAATAATTTCCAACCTATGGTGACTCTAATGTAGGGTCCAAAAGAAAAAGGCCAAACCTTTCCTCAAAAAGAAAGGAATGCTTTGTACATACAAAGAGACAAATCCTTTCGTGGATCACAGGATTTTCTTTGCAAAGTTTCTTTAGGAAAGGGGTTAGCAATGCCTTCTTCTATGCTGGGAAAATGTGACTTGCGTGAGATCACCCAGTGGGTTTCTATATCTGAGTAGGGATTTGAACCCTGGTCTGCCAATATTCCAACCACTACACCACTCTGACAATTGGCTGTAGCTACACACACACACACACACAAGGTGCATGGGTACCAAGATACTATATGGAAAAATGGCTTCTGTAGTGGGGGGATCCCCGATTTACAAACTTCTGGAAATTCACTTCTGCAGAGTTATCATGGAGCAAAGGTGTTTCCATTGAAGCTTTATCATTAATCCTTTTTTCCACAACAAGCCATTTTTTCCAAAATACAATTATCACAGGGATAGAAAGTGAAGTGAAACCTCTGAACAGGCACAGGCAGTTAACCCTTCCCTATCCTATCCAAAGCTAAACGATACATATTTTGGGCTGGAGTTATACTTAAAGAATGCACCAATTCCAAACAAATTCAACTTAAGAACAAACCTACAGAATGTATTTTGTTCCTAAGTTGTGTACTGTTGGATGTGTGTGTGTGTGTGTGTGTATGTGCACACGTACGCACACACACATGAGGTGATGTTTTATATAGTATTATTGTACCCATGCTGCTCATCTGTTTTACATGTTGACACCCTATGAATCGTTGCACTTAATGGGTTGATGTACAATGTATTAAGGGTTTTGCAATATGACCTTCTGTGATGTTGACCCTGTTCGTATAACACATGCTCAACAGTAATAAGGTAATCTCAGCAGAACATTTCTTCAAAAGTTCTTACTAAGGCCTATCAGCCTGTGCCTCCACTGGTTCTATCAGCCTGTCTGCCTTCAAACCTTGCACTTGCCCAGAGGGAGAAAGGAAGGAAATGCTATCCCAACTCTGCTCATCCTATCCTTGTGTGTGTATTTGCATGTTCCTCCATCAGTTGTGTAAATGTCTCCTCGTCCCCCCACCACCAATTGATCCCTTTATTTACTACCTTGTGGTTTCTCACTTCTTTCTGCTCTTTCCTTTCCCTTGTTCAGGGAAGAATATGAGTAGTGAGCCTGTATCATCAGGGAGCATAGAGAAGGGGATGAAGTGAGCAAAATACCACTCATAGGAATCCACAAAAGGAATGGATTTCTCTCTGTGTGTATGCAGAGTATCCGCTTCTTTTTGAGGAAAGGTTTGGCTTTATTATTTGGTTGTAACAGATTAGGGACCACAGTACATAATGGATCCACATGTTGATGATTTCTGGATTTTGAGAGTGCTCTGGTACTTAACCTATCAAATAAGTGGGGGAGGCCTGGAGGAACAGAAGTAATGCAGCTGGTCACTGGAATCTGAACTTGAAGGGTACTGAAACAAATATAACACACACACACACTTATTACACAGCCCAACAAAAAGTTTTTCTTGATGTCTTTGTTTTTTTGGCCTGCCTCTGAGGTTATCTGGGATGCTGATTCAGAAAATTACATTGGATAGAGCACATGAACTACAATATCTTAGATACAGTTATCAAGTATTTTTTACAGCATGCAGATGAAAATTTGAATATGGCATAAATTTTATATCCCAAAATTTAGAATCGATAGGGGAAAACTGGTGCCATTTTTGAAATCAGCAGGTAAAATATACCCAGAAACAGGATTAACATTTGAGGCACTATAATGGGTGTTGCCCAGTGTTGCAACAGTTAGATCTGTAAGTTTTCTGTGAAGAATCTTGCTAAGACAGTTTTAATTTTGCTTCTTGGCTGCTGGAAGAAGATCTCTAACATGGACACCTAAGGACCATTTGAATCTCTCAAAGGAAAAAAAAGGATGTTGTGTGAGTCACTGCAACTGTTCTCATGACTGTATACATGTTGCTCTGCATAACAAAGAGTAAACACCTTATTCTTTACTGATCATCTGCATGGCATATCATTTCCTCTAGGAAGACAGTGTGTGGATTAGTAAAGATGTGGACGACATGTGATTTTTCATTCCACCACACATATTTCCTTTTAATCATCAAATTAAATAGTACAATAATTCATAATATGAAAGTTCAGTTTGAGGTGAAGTTTTTCTTTTCCTCCTCCTAATTTCCTCATACACAGATGATTAAAGTCATAGAAGACATTAAAAGGTGGATAGAGTACAGTATACAAGATTTATTAGTTCTTACTTTGATATGTTTACACAGCATGCTCATGGACTCATACCTGTTCTAGGTTTACACATCTCTCAACATCACTTTGAGACACTATATTAGAAGGAAGCCAAGATAAAAATAAAGTAATAAAATAAAGTATATGTTTATTAGATGTTAACTGAGCCCGACTTTTATAGTTAAATATCAACTTTCTGAGAAAAGCAAAGCAACTCGCTCTTAATGTGTAGAGAAGCAGCCCATCTACAGTCAGTTTTTTGACAAGTTACTAATCCCTTTCTGAAAAGAGTTAATTTTCTAGATCAGGAATGAACTTTAAATCAACATATTATGCTTCTTGAAACAATTATTACCATTTTGTTTTTAAATGCATACATTGTTCCACTGTTTTATTGGAATAGTGGAATGGTTTTTTAAAAAATTATTCGCAATGAATAAATCATACAAATCACGCACAATAGACGTTAACTCAAAATGTACAATAAATCAGTTAAATAATCAATCATATATTTTTATTATTTATTTACTTTATTTCTACCCCACTTTTCTCACCCGAAGGGACTCAAGGCAGCTTACAATTCCGGCAAATATTCAATGCCGGTAAAAACCAGTACTAACAATAAAAGTTAAACAGTTAAAAACTATTAACATTAAGCAAAAATAAAATACATCGCTACACATTTGGTTGTAAAGAATATGTTAACATTTGTTTTACCTAATGCAATATTTTACTTTATCTGTGGACATTACACCCCTCTAAGTGCAAATCGTTCTTAATAATGCCTTCTGTGTGTCTCATTCAACTTCAAGACACTAAGTTACCAAAAATCAATCAATAAATAGTGGGATTTGTAGTATAGTGAGGAACCAACACTCTTACACAGAAAAAGCTAAAGATTTTGTAGAATGACAACAACCGTGTATCCATAGCATTGATACATGACAATTAAAATGGAATCAATCTGCATTAATTCTACAATGTAGCTGCATTTTAGATAGCCAACAACTCTATACTATTGGCAATAACTGGAGTGGGTATGAATGGATATCAAAGATCAGCAATCAACTTCCAAGATGCTCTTTTAAGTTCACTATTCCTGATGCTATAGATTAGTGGGTTCATTAGTGGAGGCAACATGCAATAAAACACAGAAAGCACAAGATCCATGGTTGACAGGGACCGAGACATTGGCCTTAGATAGACCAATGAACCACTTGTAATATACAAAACTATTACAATAAGGTGTGGCAAGCAAGTTGAAAAGGCTTTTGGCTTTCTCTGGGAGGAAGTAATTCTTAGAACTGCTCGGAATATCTCAATATAGGAGGTGATTATTAAACTAATATAAATGAAGGATATGGAAGAGCCAGCACATATAGTATAAAACACAATTATATATGTATCAGAACATGCAATTTTTAATAGTTGTGGGATTTCACAGAAGAACTGATTAACATCATTGGAACAGAAATTGACTGTGAATAAAGAACCAGTATATAGTGAAGAAAGGCCAAAACCACTAATCCATGTACTCATTGCCATCTGAATGCATGCTTTCTTGTTCATTATAGTCTCATACTTCAATGGATTACAGATGGCAATGTAACGGTCATATGCCATAATGCCCAGGAGATAAAAGTGAGATATGGTGAAGAAGAGAAGGAAGAAAACTTGGCAGATGCATCCGCTGTATGAAATGGTGTTGATCTTCCTCAGTGAATTTTCCATGGATTTAGGAACTGTAACCGAGATGGAGCCAAGGTCTTGGAATGCCAGATTGGCCATGAAGAAGTACATGGGTTTGTGCAAGTGATGACTTCTGATGATTACTGTGATGATGAGAACGTTTTCTATGGCAGCTATCAAATAGATGAAGAGAAAAGCAAGGAAATGAAATGGCTGGAATTCCTGAATATCAGAGAACCCATGTAGAATAAACTCAGTTGGAATTAGTGATTGGTTGGACATAGGACTCCTCTTGTGATACCTGTGAAAAGAAGAGAAGGTGGTTCAGAAAAGAGGAGAAGTTATAGTGGTTTGAAATTTGGACTTGGTCACTAGGAAACCAGGGTTTGAATCCCTGCTCACTGTGAATGACCTTGGGCAAATCATACTTCCCTCAGAGGAAAATAATGCCCCCCCTCCACACACCAATCATGTCAGGGAAACCCTGTGATGGGTTTGCCTTAGGGTCAACGTAAACCGGAAATTAAATGAAGGCTCACAACAAGAAGAAGAAAAGAAATAAAAACTATAGTGGGAATGAACATTTCTTAAGATAGTTCTTTACCTAAAAATTAAATTCTACAAGGAATTTTAATAGTATATGTTGTTATTTATTAAGTTTGTTGGATATGATTTTTGAAATGTGTAATTTGTTTATTTATTATTTGATTTATAATGTTTTTCATATATATATATATATATATATATATATATATATATATTGCAATTTTTAACCATTGTACGCTGTTTGAGTCCTACCTGTGGGAGAAAAGCAGGATAGAAATAAAGAAGTAAACAACAACAACAACAACAACAACACTCTATTTGGTAAAACTGGAGAGAAAAGTGATCATTTAACTACTGCTTTTAAGCATCATAAATAAAAAGTGCTACCAATTTCTCATTTTTCACTTTGTGAAATATAGATGACATCTGATCAAGAGCATTGTTCTGGAAAACTTTGATGTGAGAATAGCAATCATTATTCAAGACTATGTGAATTCACAGACCCACTTCCACCCCCAAAATTGCGACTCGAAAACAAGTATTAGCTCCTGACTTAGTCCTAGTAACCCCAGTGATTCTAATCTATCATCTTTTTTGTCCATTTCAGGACTGGGATTGATAAAAATGTATTTAAGCAAATTAAAAAAAATACATTTTAGGGAGTCAAAACATGTGTATATTCCAAAATCCAAATTCTTAGGAGATTTTCAGTGGTTTGTCTTGAGGAAAAATACTTGAAGCAATGTACACCTTGGACAAACTGCCTGTATTTCCAAAAATGCATGCAAAACTGCGCCATGCCAGTATAACCTGCTTGGGATAGTAGATACAGATTTTAAGTGTGCACAATTGTTGCATAAAGCATGTATAGAAAAAGTACACATTCTCTTATGACTTTCTTTGTAAAAGTATTTCTTTTACATCAAGAAAGAGGACCAAACTAACTTAACCTTAAGACCTAGTGATCTCACAATGACTTAATTCATCAAGTTACCACAGACTAAGAACCTGAAGATGAGATGGAAGTTAAATTATATATATATAGCTATCTCTTTTTGGTGTGTGCGTGTTTTTTTCCCTTTCTTGTTTTTTCATTTTTTCTTTTTTCTTTTGAATATATAGATTTTTGAATTGTTGGTTGGGAGTGGGTGTTAATCTATTTTTCCTACTTTTCTATCTTCTTTCAAATATTCCCCCTCTTTCTATGTAATTCTATAAAACTTTAATAAAAATCATTTTTTAAAAAAGTTACCACAGACTTCTGCACCATTCACTTCAGTGTTCAACACAAAATTAAAAATGTGCAGCATTCCCCATATTCTAGGAAATGACAAAAATAGTATTCTGCAAGCATAACAGCCTCTGCCTATCTGAACCCTATATATCCTGTCCATGACACCTCAGGTAATCAATCATTAATTGTTTAGGACTAAGGGCCTCATCACACTTGAGTATTTTCACACCTTAATCAACTTTAAATGCTGTGACTGCCTCCTGCGGAATTCTGGGGTTTGAAGTATAGGGAGGCTCAGGGCTTTTCTGAATGAATGGTTTAAAGGCCCCTCCCTAATCTACAAACCCCAAATTCTGCAGTGACTGCCTCCTGCAAAATTCTGGAATTTGTAGTTTAGTGAGGGACCTTTAAACTGCTCATCCAGAGAAGCCCCGAGCCTCCCTAAACTACAAGCCCTAAAATTCTGCAGGAGGCAGTCACATTTAAAGAAGTCTTATGAGTCTTATATAACATCCATTTTAACAGAATACATGTGCATGCACATCCATACAAAAATATCACATTAATGAATCCACTGAACAGTCTACTGCAGAGCTTTCCAAACTACGTGTCGTGGCATGTTAGTTTGTTGGCTTCAGAGTATAGGTGTATCACACAAATGGAAAAAGATCCCACCAAGTCTATGTGAAATAAGTCTATGTGTTGTCGAAGGCTTTCATGACCGGAATCACTGGGTTGCTGTGAGTTTTCTGGGCTGTATGGCCATATCCAGAAGCATTCTCTCCTAACGTTTCACCCACATATGTGGCAGGCAGGTTGTGAGGTCTGGATCTCACAACCTCTGAGGATGCCTGTCACAGATGTGGGCGAAACATCGGGAGACAATGCATCTGGAACATGGCCATACAGCCTGGAAAACTCACAGCAACCCAATAAACAATATGTTTTAAAATATATAAATGAAAGATTTTCATGAGACATGTTGTATCCCCATACATTTTGTTATTACAACTTATTTATGTGTTTGTATCTCATATAAAGGATTGGTTTAACCTCTGGTTTGCTAGTAAAAGTTAATTACTGTGTTGTGAAATGATGCATGTCTAAAAAGTCTGTCATAAACATGAAATGTTTGGAAAGCTCTATAGCGATCTCTTTCAACTATCCAATATGAATACTTTTTTGCAGCTTTAGCAAATTTGGCAGATTTATATGCAACATATGAGCCAAAGTCTTCTAGTAGCAAGCAATGTAGGTTATCTATAAAGATGCTGAATGTAAGCTCAATCTTGTTTAAATCATGCTGGCAGCAAATAAAGGTAATTTCATCTGGCTCTCTATTATCATAGGAAACTTTTCTCTAATCTCTGCCTCACATTATTTATTTGGTCCTCCTGCAGACTTACCTGGGAGCAAGTCCCAACTCAATGGGTTTTGCTTTTTTGGAACGACTAGATTTCAGTCTTAATCACACTCTTCACTCTCTGCATCCATTTGAGAAGTGAACTGATTAACTTATCACTATACCTTCTTAAGCAAGACATGTCATGGGAGTCAACTATCCATGCCTCCCCCATTTTGGGACCTTGGGAACATTCAGTCCCAAGAGTCCAATCTAGATTAGAAAAGGGACAAAAGCCCTCAGAACTTTGTATGTGTGTGTGAGTAAGATGAAATTTGTTTACTTTTTTAAATTTAATAAAGGCAAATTATAATAAACTTAAGGAAGTATGCCTCTATGACACCTTAGATTTGAGCTTACTGTGGGTGACAATTCCCATATATGGCATTGCTTACTCACTAAACATGTGATAATCTGAAGCAATTTAAATGACCCGGAGGTTGGATTAAGGCTAGTGCAGTTGTATCCATCAGCACTATTCCAGAAGTGAATTGTGTTGTGTTTCATAAGTCTGGTGTGCAAAAGGTTTCATTTCAGTCCAGGGCTGACAAATATGATACTGAACTTATCTTTTTCTCTCAGACAAATTCCTTCCCTCTGTGCTTCTAGTGGCCACTTTCCCCCATCACAGCAGACACTGAGTTATGGTCCTACTCAGGCATGTAGCCGGGGGGGGGGGGGGGCGTAAGGGGCTTCCCCCCCCCTCCCCGAAATTCTCATGTGGTTCGGAAAAGGCCTTAATGGTACATTATTTAAACTGTTACGTTTATTCATATCATGATCTGATCACCATGCTCAATATATCCCATATGCATGGGGGTATTGGGGTAACAATACAAAGGTTTGCTAGGGTAGACCCTCTTTCACTCAGACTCAGCCCCCCCCGAAACAAACTCAGCCCCCCCCCCCCCCCGAAATGAAATCCTGGCTATGGGCCTGGTCCTACTGACCTTTTTTCCCCTTCTAAACTTGCATACAGAATGATTGGATTTAGTGGGGATTCTTTGGTTTTATTTGGTCTGAGGACTAGGAAGGTTGCCTTTCCTTCATTTTTGAGTGTCAATGGGGTGGCAGAGGATTTGGGGATTTATTTGGCACTCAGTTGAGGTTGTTTACACGTCCCCCCCCCCAATGTCAATTTTAGTGTGTTCTACTATTTTTTAGTGTCTACTTTTTTTTCCCTTTCCATTATTGCTATTTTAGTACAGGTTGCCCCTTTGTATAGATTGTTCCAGTGGGTGGTTGGCATAATGCTAATGGTGCTAAATGGGAATATCTGTTTAATCAAATTCCCTTTATAATTGAAAATAGAAGGTAAGAGGACCTCTGCTTATAACTGGAAGCATGACAAGCACACAATCCTTCATGCTACGTTTTCATGCCAAAACTCTTATTCTTGATACCATCTATCTGACTAAACAAGGAGTGTCCTTGAAGTCTGTCACTAACAGGTCTTTGTGCAAGTGGCTGCATTTGCTCAATCCTCCCACATAAATATTGGTACACCAAGTTAACATAATGTAAACACAGGCTAACATAAAGTAAATAAAGAAACCCTGTGCTGCATTATTCTACTTTTTCAAAATAAACTCTTCCAGTCCCATTTGTGCAGACTTGAAAAAAATCATTGTGTGCAGTCTAATATTAAAGATGTGAGTGACCTTAGTTTCCTAGTCTCTTGGTAAGTCAACATTTGCATTTTTGCAATAAGATCTAAATTGGTATCTGATAAAGATTCAGATTTCCTCACAAATCCATGCACATTAGAAAAAGGAAAAAAATTAAAATAGTTTTCATCTAATTTATTACACTTTGGAATCATTGCTGTTTCAGGGCATATTTTTTCAGTGCACTCTTTCTACTAGTAGCAAACAGAAATGAAAAGCAAAATAGGCCTTATTAGCAATAGTGAAAAACCCTCTTTTTCGAAGATGTATTATGTGGGCCTACAATTTATTGTGCTGCAAACAGTTACACAGCATTTTTGAACCTACAGCAGTAGTTCTCAATCTGGGGTCCCCAGATGTTTTTGGCCTATAACTCCCAGAAATCCCAGCCAGTTTATCAGCTGTTAGGATTTCTGGGAGTTGAAGGCAAAAACATCTGGGGATCCCAGGTTGAGAGCCACTGATCTACAGCCTTAATTTCAATTGAATTAACATTCTTTCAAGAGATCTACAGCATCTGTTTCAGTTTTCTAGGATGTCCTACTTTCCTCCTTCTCATATCACAATTACAAGGCACATGGTATGATACTAAATCTGGAATTCTACTGGCAACATAAGAATATGTCATTTTGGATTACACATGCATTTCCCCCCTAAATCCATTGTACAAGAATGTATTTAGTTACAACATCTAAGACTGAGCCTACTCCAATGATGCAAAATAGGAAAGAGCGAAGATATATATATATATATATATATGAAAAGGTCTACTTCCAAGACCAATCAAGAAGATCAGTCTTTTTTCTTTTTTTTTAAAAAAAATCCTAATATTGTCTAACAATTCCTGGTTATCTTCTCATTAGTGAGTAGTTAGTCTTGTATTGGTTTAGTTTGAATTCTGAAGGTGAGAGAAAAATGCTACTGGTGAAATAAGTGTTGGGAAAAGATTATGATTGCTTTATACAAACACACCATCCATTTCCAATTGCTCCCCATTGTCCCCAAACAGCACAACATAACAAAGTGAGGACACTTCTATCATCTTCTGATTGGGAGGATGAGCACTTCAGTATCTGTCAAGTAGCAGTTTTGAAAGACTATCACTGAAGCACCACGCTCAAGTCAAACTGAAAACAAGGTGGATGTGTTGAGAATTCTGTTTCACTGGTTAATCTAAGCCAAAATATTTATTTATTTATTTATTTATTTATTTATTTATTTGCCATATTTATATCCCACCTTTTTTCATCCCAAAGGGGATTCAGACCAGCAATGCTTTCTCCTATATTCAGTGTGCAAAACTGTAATTTCATTCTGTCAGCATGGAGAAAGCCACACTGAGCAAAAAGTTGCAAAAAGAAGTTGCTGAGTTCCTGCAGGCAGAGACCTCTAAGAAGAAAATAGAGACCTTTGTCTCTCCAGGCCACTACCAGGAGCTGATGCTTCTGAGTTATAGTTTCTGCCAATCAGGAAAGAGAGGCAAAGTGAGACTGAAAGCAAATTATGGAGCAAATTGTGCTTGTTTCCTGGCTGGTTACTAATTGCTCCATTGTTTTCATATTCATACTATAAGGATGTGGAGGAAATGTGTATAATGTGCATAATATAAGAAAAGAAAGGCCCAAAGAAAAATGTTCAAATTTTAGTGTGGATTTGCATGTAAATATGCTCACATAGTTACACTAACTAATGTGGAAACTAGAAATAAATCCGATGGCACCTTCCAGACTAATTTATTTCAACATCATCCTAGAACCTAGGTGGAACTTCTATATAAATTGAAAAATTGGTAGCACATTGGTTTATCCACTGTTAATACAAACAAGTACAGAAATACAGCACATAATTCTTAGCTCTAATAAATTAAATTGCTGGATTCTGATAGGAGAACATTTGGTTTAAAATCTTTAATCTTAATCTGGAAGAATATTCTTGTCACAGTGTTATATCTGACTATTAATAAAATGTTGTTTGTCTTTCAGTTGACTCCAACTTGCAGTCATCTTGGCAAGATTCTTTTAGAGGGAGGTTGTCATTGTAGTCTTTAAAATGAATAATATCTCTGTACGAATTCACTTTAGTTCTCTCCAAGGTTGGCTCTAGTCCTCTCAATTAGTTTTGGGCCCTGAAAGAAAAGATGCATACTCTGAGACAATATTAGCCAAAAGTTTCTCAACTGATATCTTTCAAGCATACCTGGGGGCTGGCTCGCGTGGTCTCTTCCAACTCTATGATTCTGAGTGAATATTATTTTCTGTGCAGAAAATGCTGTAGTAGCAGAATCATTTTGTACAAATTTTTCACATTCTTCTGTGGATTCTGTACAGAAAACAACTTTCTACAAGAAACAGATTTTTTTCTGCACAAAAAATAATATTCATTAATCCATTATATTGAATTTACATCTTGCCTTTCCGTCAGGTTTTTCTGTGCAAAAGTATGCCCTTTGTGCATAAAAATATATCTAACCCTGAACATTCCATTTAGTTTGGCCTTTTCTTGTTCAAATACTGGTGTTTTTATTCTCAGCCTTTCTTATACATGCACACACACAGAGTTAAAGAACCCCAAATTCTGCCACTATAATCACAACTCATTTCTGTTTTAACAGACTTTTCAGATTGTCAATTCTAGGGGGAGCCTATGTTATTTACTTATCCTTCATGAGATCAGTATACCTCTGCTGCAAAACATTCCTCGTGGTTGTCAGCTTCACAGCATTTTGTCTCCATGTCTAAGTATTCTTTGACTACACCTTGAAGTTGTTCACCTGTGATGGTGGGTTTCTGTTTAATTAAGTTGACAAGTAACCTGCAATGAGAAGAACAGCAAAATCATACAATACATTGCAGGACAGCTTTCCAAGGTTGCATGTAATATGCTGTAGAGGTAATGCAGTTTGATGCCACTTTAACTGCCATGGCTAAATGCTAATGAAGATCATGGGAGATGTCATTTTACAAGGTCTTTAACCTTCTCTGCCCCCATGAGTCCATAGCATTGAGCCATGGCATTTAACGAGGCATCAAACCACATTAATTCTACCATGTAGACACATCCCTAATCCATTGAAGCCAAAGGACACTACATCCTTAATAAAGAAAAACATTTTAATAAAATATATTCAGGATATATAAAATGGATGTATATTAAAAGATATTCAAACCCAGCAGTCACCTTATATGTAATCATTTGTTTTAATTGAATATAGCTAAGAAAATGAAGAGTAGGTAAAGCAGATATTTTGAAAATAAGGCAGCAGGAGGATTGAGAAAGCAATTCACAAAAGGAAACCACAAATTCTCCTATGAGAGGGCTTGTTGAATGAAAAGCAAGTGAGAGAGAACAAGATTTGAAATGGAACAAAGAGATAAATAAGAATGAAAAAAAATTAGATCTAATTATAGAGAAATTCATTGACTGCAATTCCACTGGGAAATTTAAAACAATACTATTTTGCACCTATGAAGACTATCAAGGGATTTGTTTTTGTTTCAAAAGCTCCTAAATTTGTGAGGGAAAGAAAATCTGAACAAAACAATGTCTACTTTTTTAAAAAAAGTATTGAACTAAATATATCAACTGGAAACATGGCTATATACATGCTATAGTCAATAAAAAGTGGATATATTTGCACACCTAAGAAAAAATGTGAACATAAAACAGCACAAATTTCGGGCAGGGGAGACTGAAGCTGGAGAGAAATTCAGAAATAAAGTTAGACTAAAACCTGATAATTTTGCTCATATATTCTTGAGATGAGCGAGGAGCAAATAATGGTAAATTATAGATAGAAGATGTAATTATGAATTTTAGAATTGGAATATTTATTTATTTATTTATTTGACTTGTATACCGCCACTCCCAATTTGGCTTGGAGCGGTTTACAGAAATGATTAAAACAATACAATTAGCTTTAAAATAACAATAAAAAGCGACAACAGACACAGCCCCGAGTTTTTCACCCATCGAAAGCTTGTCGGAAAAGAAAGGTTTTACAGGCTTTCCGAAAAGCCAGTAAATCTCGGATAGTTCGGGTTTCAACTGGCAAGGCATTCCAAAAATAAGGGGCTACAATCGAGAAGGCCCTCTGCCTAGTAGAGGACAAATGATAAGTCCGGATGTTAGGGACTTCAAGCAAATTTTGGTCTTTGGACCGAAGTAATCTCTGGGGTTGGTAGGGGGATAAGCGGGCCCTCAGGTATGCCGGCCTCAGACCATATAAGGCTGTATACTGTATGCTAATTGACATAAATATTAAATAACCACTAAAATGCTATATTAAGTTTATTTTTTTACCTTTGTTTCTTTACATGCTGATCTGTGTTGGCTAAGCAAAAATCTCCATGAAAGGCAAACAATTCAGGGTCAAATGGGGGAGGAACATATTCTTCATCTATTCCTAAACCAGTAAAGCACTTCTGACGATTAATGTAGGAGTCCTCACAGCATTGGCCAAGCTGTCTGTTGATGGGATGTTCTTCATGTCGCTGACATATATCACCTGCCATTAGATTTTCCTAGAGAGAGAAAATAGGCTAATTTGTGAAATACAAAATGATTGGAGTTCCACCTACAACATACATTAATCTTTTCAATCATATCTATGCAAATCATGTACAATTTCAAGTCATAGTTATTATACGATCCTAAATGGTTGCCAGAAAATGTGGTAAGACATATTTAATAACAGAGAAAATATGAGTCCTAAAATAAAAATAAAATAGTAAAAATCTTATGTGGCTTTACAGGGCATCCACATTTCATGATTGTGTGTAAGAAATTAGTTCAGATAGCATAGTTTATGCTGTTCTGGATAGTGTAAAACTTTTACTATTGCATTGTTTTGACTAATAGTACTATCTACTGATAGAAGCTATATCTGTGTGCAGCCATGTTAACTTTATTCATATCCAGGTAAGGATATCATTACATCCTTTAGTTTAAGTGAGGTTATAGCAATGTGCTCAATGAAGGAAGGAAGGTCATTGGAATCTTAGACTTTTACTTCTACACTACCACAGCTGTCCTCCACATATGCAGTTTTGATTTTTTGCATATTTGATTTGATTAAAACATTTTCTATAGGAATCTTTTGGTCCTCCAGTGTGACTCTGTGATCAACTTTTTCCAATTATGTGGAAAGACTTGTATATTTCTAGTGAGATTACCTCTATAGGGATCTCTGGGTCCTCCAATGCAATTCTGTGTTCAGACGAAGTGGATCATAAATGACCTCATCACACTCACCAAATTCAGTATCCTGGGATGCTTCCAGCCTGTTTTGAAGGCTAAGCCCCATACCTGCCATCACACAACATTGTGTGACTTCTGGTGAAGGCCTTACTCCTAACCATGGTGGAAGCGTCCTTGGATGCTTCCCTCACAACACAGGAGGCTTCCCAGAAGGGCAACAATTCCCACGTGTGATGGGGTAAGCATCATCGAGAGGGAGCTGCATGCGGGGTGATGGATTCACCCAACTGCCCCTCTTTTTCCTCTGTGAAGCCAGGCGAAGTGGGATACTTTGCCTGTCCTTTATAAGGTTGAAAGACATCCTGGAGGAACTTGAAATTCCTAAAGAGGGATTTTCCCTGTGAAGATAGAGGGCTGGTTGTACTTTCTAAGATTAGCTAGAAATGTTTGTCACTGTGTGGCAAGTCTTGAGAATTGTCATAAAGCTGGGCCAACGTATTTCCAAAAATATATACTGGTATTTGAATGTCTAAAGTAAGAGAGAAAGGCAATTAATATTGAGGAAACAATACTCACATATCTGTCAATACAAATCTGCATATAAGTCTCATCCTTCTTGCAGCATTTGGCAGCAACATCCATGAATCCCTTGGTATATTCATAGAGCTCCTCAAAGGAGAGCTGTGGTGCTTTCTTGGCATAGCAAACAAGAAGCCTGCAACAACAATAAAGAGTGGATTTACTTCCACTAATTATAGTCAAAGAGGAATGTAAACCTTGACAGTTATATATGTCAGTAGTTCCTAAGGAGTCTGAAGCATAGAAGGCTGAACTCAGGGGTTGTTTTTTTTTTTTTTTTTTAAAGAAAACAAAGCTTGAGTTATCTTTAAGGTGTGGATTTGTGGGTGTATAGAAATGAAGACTCTGCAGCTTCAGTATAAGAGGGGATGCCATTGGGGAAGTAAATCCACTCTTAATTTTAGTATAGACATTAAAAGTATTACTCAAGATGTGGAACCTCTTTTAGAGATAAAGATCTGCACTTTGGATAGCTGCTTTAAGGTATAATCTGTTTATTTTAATTTCAATGATATTAAGTGGATGTTGTGACAGGTATACTGCACACCTGAGAGAGCATCGCAAAAGACACTTCAGGGAAAGATACACTTTTGATGGACTGTACGGTCAGTGACCAGAAGGTTCACATGTGGTGCCAGATGCCAAAACAAGTCATTTAATGGGTTGGGGTAATAGACCATTTAACACCTGGTCCCTCTCTTCACAGTCCTCTATGGATCATCACAGTGTGGCCCACCTTCCTGGTGATTTCAGGACTGAGTAGAATTTCCTCCCCTTTACTTGGTTGGTTGTTTTTGGCCCATAGTGAATTGGTAAAATTTGATGATGGACTTAAAGATGTATATAAATGAACTATCATTTGCTAGGTAGCTGGGGATGGAGTGGGCTTAAGAATTTGGTCTACACCTTATTATTTATTTATTTATTATTTTATTTACAGTATTTCTATACCGCTTTTCTCACCCCTAGGCGGACTCAAAGCGGTTTACACATAACTGACAAAACTTCAGTGCCATACATTGGACTCTGACGCAATGCCAAACCATAACAACCACAATAATAAAACCACAATTAAACATAAATCATAATTAGATTCCATAATTAATTGGCACTTTCTTTCACTGAAGGGATTCTGTAACCTAGGGTGGATCCAGAAAGGCCTTTATTCCAGGAGAATCCATGTTTTAAAAAGGCGGATCTTCCTGGGGGCCTGTTCACAAGATGCTCTTGCAGGACTGGCCCATGAGAATATCTGGAGGCCCTACCCCCCTCCCCCGAAGCCCCCAGACCCCTTTGAAAAGTAAAATAAACTTACCTAACCTCCAATACACTCTCGGAGCAGCTCTCCTGGCATGTAGAAATGATGTGCCAAGAGAGCGGGGAGGGGGGGTGATTTTACCCCCCCTCCCCCATTCTCCTGGCGTGTCATTTCTACATGCCAGGAGAGCTGCTCCAAGAGTGTACTGGAGGTCAGGTAAGTTTATTTTAGTTCATTTACATACATCTATAAGTCTATCAGCAAAGTTTAACTGATTCAATATGGGTCAAAAACAACCAACCAAGTAAAGAGGAGAAAATTCCTACTCAGTACTGAAATGAAGGTGGGCCATACTGTGACCAGGAAGGTGGGCCACACTGTGATGATCCATAGAAGACTGTGAAGGAATAAGGAAAATGCGGGAGGCCGACCTGGATTTTTTCCCCTCACTTATAGGATCCTGGAACTTGGGTGGGAGTACATAATTAATGGAGTTTAACACCATTTTAACTTCTATGGATCCATGTTATGGGAACCAGGGTTTTATATTTTTACAAGGTTTCAGCCTTTTCTGTCAAAGGCTAAACTCCAAATCCTAGGTTTCCATAGCATTGGTCCATAGCAGTTAAAGTAATGTCAAACTACCTTAATTCTGCAGTTTAGATGCACCCTTAAGCTAAACTGGACCAGTGCAGTATATGAATCCCTATACTGCAAGTTAGAATTTCAGGAAAAGAACAACATACTCATTGTGGAGGGCACAATCTCCTATTCTTGCAGACACCACACAGGTGTTTTTGGTCACTTCTACGGTATCAGCAATGTGTTTTTGGAGGAGCTCTTCCTGGAAAACAAAAGCAGGGGGATTGTTGTTAAATGTCTAAAGTGAATAAGAGCACCACCAGAAGAAATGTAGATCTCTTTGGAGGAATTCTGAACAGTATCTCTTGAAAATGATATGGTTGTTATGTGCCTTCAAGTCATTTTTCACTTATGACAAAGCTACTGTGGGCTTTTCAAAGTGTTTTTTTTCTACACTGCCTTTCTCGGCAGCTGATAGAATAAGACTCTCTTAAGGTCACCAGTAGGTTTCAGGGTCAAGAAAAATTCACTCATACTACCATGTCTTGCTGGCTCTGATGATATAGACTAGGGAATAAATATTGTTTTTTGAATGTGATATAGACTGAAGAATAAATAGAATATTTTGGTGAGGGGTAATTAAGGCAATCTTCTGCAACCTATTATAATTATTCCTGCATGGTTTATTTACCCATTTCTCTTGACACTTTATTGTCCCGGTTATAATAGATAGATATGCAAATTCTAGAACTACAAAGCATTGCAACTGGAGCAATAGCACAGCAAAACCTGAATAGCTCCGTATGTATACTGAAGAAGAACAACACCTTTCTCTTGCTACATCTGAATCCTCCAAAAAGCAGTCCTATGTCTTGAGCTTGAAGGTGAATTTTCTAGTAGAATGAAAGTGTTATTGGATGCCTGGCATCAATAAACAAAAACCTCATCAGAAAACCTATCTGCCAAAAAAGAAAAAAGAAAAAAAGAAACAAGCATGTAAGAAAATGTTATAGCTTATAGTAAAGCCTATGTTTTGTTTATGAAAAGTTCAGTTACTTGCATTACTGGGAGGGTTGGGGAAGACTGTTGTCTGAAATCCTGCTCCGCTATTGCTAGTCGAAATAGACAATGAAAATATTTGAGGGCGTGAGAGAATCTTCTCTGTGGCTTATCCAAAGCTGCAGAACTCCATTCTATGGGAGTGTTTACTAGCCCTTTCTTTCCTCTTTCTGCTAGCAGGTAGAAATTTTTTGATTAAGGTAGATTTTGGATTCATTGTTAAATCATGCATTGGGATAGTGGTACCAATGATTGATAATTTGGCTAACAATAGTGGCAAAACACCAACAACATGCACATCCTTTCATAAAACAACCCACCCATTGGCTGAGGCACTCCTTGGGCTTTTCAGCTTTGCAGCACCTTTCCAACAATTCTTCATAGTCTTCGCCAAGCCTCAGAATCAGCTCTGCAGAAAACTCAGGGTGTCTCCTGGCATACTCATAAACAAACCTACAACACAGGAAAAAAACCATGAATTGACAAGAGCAATAAAAGAAACAATACAACATTGCAATGTGCACAATACAATTTCATTATTCCAATAAACTAAGACAATCCTGCTTGTTCTGGACTACACTAAGGTCATGTGCCTTCAGAGTCCCAAGTTTAATAAATGTATGCTAATGCTCCTTACACACTGAGTGTTCTGTTCTGCAAGCTTACCAATAACTGGGGCTGAATTTATTCAAAATTATGTAATGATTTCAGGCACAGGTTTTTTATGTCTTCTCCCTCTTTTCTATGTTGCTGAAATTTAGTCCCATGGAGTCTATCACAACTTCTAGCTGGACTCTGTTTTGGCAGTGTAGAGAAAGGGAGCTCAGAGTGACTTTGGAGGACTCCTCCATGCGGGAATTCCATGGGTAAGATAGAACTGAAGGGGGAAAGGACATGGGATGGCAGAAGATGGATCTCGATGGGAGGGAACAGAGTAAGATGGTTCCCTCCACTGTCCCACTCTGTCCTCCCCTTTCCCCTGCTCGTCTGATGAGATCCAAAATCTATACAGTCTACTCCATACTCTGCGAGGAGAGGGTTTTGGTCCTCAGCATAGCGTGGACACTGGTCTTCCTTGTCCACGAACTCTCTAAGATCTGGAGACAAATCTGCTGGTTTTTCATCATTTTCCATATTCATAATACAATCATTTTGTTCCAAAAATGGCTTTTTGCAGCAGAGTTCCAATTTAGAAGATAAAATATCTTGATGGCCACAGATATAGGATGTCACATTTGCCTGTAAGAAAAAAATGAAAGCAATTACATTAAAGTTGTACTGTGGAGAATCATAGATGTTTTTGGAGGTTTATCAGAGTTTGTAAATATATTGCAGATATCTTCAAAAACATTATATTCAGGCATATGTGGACTAGATTGGGAATTCATCTCAAATACTTGAGCTTTAAGCTATAGGAAAATATTTTTTCCAGTTTCTACAGTGAAAGGAACTAATATCTTCCAACGGACTTGGAGTACTTCTCTGAGCGCTACATTCGTTTGCTGTAACGGAAATGAAGTTCAATGTTTACCTTTTCAAGAAAGCATTCCAGTGTGTCACCTTTGCAGCACTTCTCCTGACTACGTGCAATTTCTTCAGCCAGTTTGTCAATGGTAAGAACTTCCGCCTTTGGAAACTTCTGGCTAAGCTGAACAAATTTTCTGGGAAGAAATCAAACAACATGTTAGTAAAAGGCCTCACATTTATTGTCAGACGTATCAGATTCAAACATTCACACTTTTAACATGACAAATATTTGATGTCTTGCCCCTTTTGTGATTCCCTTCACTTAAAAAAAGCATTCACAATAGTTAGAATTCTAGAGCAATTGGGAAATGCTACAAAATTCACTATTCTGAGGACTCTTAATTTTTTCTTCCCTCTCTCTTTCATTTTTGAGTGAGCAGTTTTTTCCAACCTTTTATTAGGATATTGTATTTGTAATGAAGTGAATGATCAAGACCTTTAGGGCATTCTAATACCAGAAGCCCTAAAGTAAGACCAAAAGCTAGAAATGTGTGCACAATTCATTGTTCTTCACCACAAACAAATATCATAAGGAAAAAAATACATGCATTGGTTTTCTAAAGTTGTATAGTTCCCAGAAATCCATGGTTTAGTGTTTAGAATTTATCATATTCAAACAGAATTCATGGGCCAGAATTTTCAGTATGCCAGCATAATCGTATTACCATAGGCAGTAGTGGAAGGAGAAAGACAGCAATGGATACAAAGGCCATACTGGGAGATTTTCTTCTCCTCCTTGGCCACTCTTGTCTGCATCTTGCATTTGCAAGTACTAATTTGGTACACAAACAGGGTTCTATCCATTGATTATACCAGGTCCTGAACCGGTGCTTGGCCGCTGTGACGGTCTGGATGAGGGTGAACAAATTGAAATTGAATCCAGACAAGACAGAGGTACTCCTGGTCAGTCGCAAGGCCGAACAGGACATAGGGTTACAGCCTGTGCTGGATGGGGTCGCACTCCCCCTGAAGGCGCAGGTTCGCAGCTTGGGTGTGATCCTGGATTCATTGCTGAGCCTGGAACCCCAGGTCTCGGCGGTGACCAGGGGAGCATTTGCACAGTTAAAACTTGTGCGCCAGCTGCGCCCGTACCTTGGGAAGTCTGACTTGGCCATGGTAGTCCACGCTCTGGTTACATCCCATTTAGACTACTGCAACGCTCTCTACGTGGGGTTGCCTTTGAAGACAGCTCGGAAGCTCCAACTAGTCCAACGCTCGGCAGCCATGATTTTAACAGGAGCGGAGCGCAGGGAGCATACAACCCCCCTGTTGCGCCAACTCCACTGGCTACCGATCTGCTACCGGGCTGAATTCAAAGTGCTGGCGTTGGCCTTTAAAGCCCTAAACGGTTCCGGCCCAAGCTACCTATCTGACCGCATCTCTGCCTATGAACCCACCAGGAGTTTGAGATCTTCCGGGGAGACCCTGCTCTCGATCCCGCCTGCTTCTCAAGCTCGGCTGGCGGGGACGAGAGATAGGGCCTTCTCGGTGGTGGCTCCTCGGCTGTGGAACGCCCTTCCTACGGACATTAGACTAGCACCATCTCTAATGGTATTCCGCAAAAAGGTGAAGACCTGGATGTTTGTGCAGGCGTTTGAGTAATTTAGTACAATCTGGTAATGGAACATAAGAATGGAACAATGGACGACGAATCTGGACTACGCTTGGATGATGAGAAGATTGGGTACGGTTGTTTTTTGTAATAATTGTGCATTGTAATTGCTTATTGGTAATTTATGGATAATGTGTTAAGTCAATTGTTATATGTTGTATGGAACCACTGCTGTTTCTACTGTTTTTACTGTTTGTGAACCGCTGTGAGTCGCCTTCGGGCTTGAGATACAGCGGTATATAAGCAAAGTAAATAAATAAATAAAATAATAAATAATGCAGAGCCTTGCTTGAATTTCTGGTTTACATTTGCATTTACACTTGACTGGTTTCATGAACAGCCATTCCAGTTGTGTACAAACATATTTTCCTTTAAAAAAACTCTCCCTCTCCCTGAAATAACATGTCATTTTTTATTTCATACCATAATGTAAATATAGCAGGCTCTGGCTTTGCTGTGGGTGATGGTTTTCTACATTCTAACTCTACAGTTCTGTGAACTCTCATGTATCGCAGGGAATGTACTTTGTTAGGAGTGACACTGAAAAGAAATATGCATTTGTTCCCTTTCCAAAGTTACTTTCAAAACAACTACCAAGTAATTACCCTACGATTTACTTTGTTCTAAAAAGTTTTTTTTCATTTCTTTTACTTGCTGAAAAAATAGCTTAAACCCAAACCATTAGACATACACAGCCTTGATAGCTCTTTTCCTAAAGTTCTTCAGGATATGACAGGTGTGCTTCTCCATATGAATGGCTGTCAACAGTTTCTCTCTGACATTTGGGATCTGGATTACAAAAATAAAATATGGTTAAGGCACATTATCAAAAATGTGGACTGGATGCAGACTCTAGAGTAATTCTACTGTAGTCATAGATCTCAAAGTCCAAATTCCTGCCTGCAGGCATAACCAGTTAAAGCACCTTGAATTATTACTATGCAATTTTTGTCTAAAAACAAGCGTGTGCAAGTGTGTTATCTTTTGATGCAGTCAGTTTTGCTGATAAATAAATCTTTTGTGTCCTGAAAATTTTCTTAATGTTTACATGAAATCTCTTTTCTGTGGCTAAGAGAAGAGGGGAACCTGCTATGTGTGTACTGCATTTGGCTTGATAATTCTTGTAATCCAGCTGTGCAAAATTGCAAGATAGAATCTAGATTACAATAGATTATAATACCTTTTCATCCAAACATGAATTTTGGTTGCCTTCCTGGCAGCAGTCTGTCAATACAGCCTTGAGGTCCTGAATAACAGCAAAGGGGACGAAAACACTTGTAAAAGGATTTCTTCTGGCAATCGCATAGAGATAGCTACAAAAAAAAAAAGTTAGTTGCATTACTCTTAATTGTAGTTTATCAGAACACAATTCCACTTTTCTCCTTAGAGTTATTACTCTGGCATGTTATTACTCTGGCAAGTATACCAGAAATCCTTGGTGGATTTCTGGTATAAAATTGTCAAACTGTTAGACAAACTCTCCTTTTCAAATATTTAGCAACTTGATCTCTTTTGCACTGAGTATGTGGCCAGATTTTTTAAAACACCTATGGAGAGCAGTCACCAGCATTGGAAGTATGTGGGGGGGGGGGGACCCTCAAGAACCTTTGAGATATATCTGTTATTATTAAAATATTGAATGATTATTTTAAAAGAATATGACTGAATTGGAACACCTTGGATGAGAGTATGAATGGTTGGAACCCTAAAATGTTGCACTCCACATTCTGTTGTATGCTTTGTATTCTCAATATGCAACAGCTTTGTATTTGATAAATAGTTGATATAAGACTTTGAGTAGGAGCCCCCGGTGGCACAGCGGGTTAAACCACTTAGCTGCTGAGCTTGCTGACCAAAAGGTCAGCGGTTCAAATCCAGGGAGCGGAGTGAGCTCCCGCTATTGGCCCCAGCTTCTGCCAACCTAGCAGTTCAAAAACATGCCAATGTAAGTAGATCAATAGGTACTGCTCTAGAGAGAAGGTAACAGCGCACCATGCAGTCATGCCAGCCACATGACCTTGGAGGTTTCTATGGACCATGCTGGATCTTCGACTTAGAAATGGAGATGAGCACCAAACCCCAGAGTTGGACATGACTAGAGTAGACTCAATGTCAGGGAAAAATCTTTACCTTTACTTAGATTTCTAACAGAGTTTGATACATTTCATAACATCACAAAAGGAAGTAACTTAAACTAATAACGATTGATTTACATACTGGCTCATTGCTGCAGTGGGATCTTCTTGAAAGGCTTTGCAATGATCTTCTGGTGTTGGTTCTTCAAAGGGAGGAAGGAATCCTTGGGTTGCATTTTTATGGGATAGAAAACATTCCTTTCTTTCTTCACTGACTTTGCCACAGCATTCAGTAAATCCATATTTGTCACCAAGTCCTTGCTCATTACAAATTTTATCAAAGAGAACAGTTTCCTAAAGATCAGAAACAGAGCATTGCTTTATTTTATTAGTCATATAGAGATGTTTTATTGAGATTGCTGTAAGAATCCCAGGTCTGAAATAGACTCAGTTCATTCTGAAAGGACCCAAGGCTTACCCAAAGCATTTCCTACCCAAAAACGAAGTTAAAAGTGAAGAGGGAATAAAGCTATAATAACTGCAAGGCCATTCTCACTGCACTTTGTGCTGTCTGGAGAAGTATAGCCCTTAACTCTTTTCTACATAATAATGTTGTGACTTTGTTTTCCATGCTTGAATGATTTAAAGAGTCAATGCATATAGTTCTTTGTGACAATGAAATATAGCATGTGTACCATCTAATTTTTTAGGTAAAGGTAAAGGTTTTTCCCTGATACTAAGTCTAGTCATGTCTGACTCTGAGGGTTGGTACTCATCTCTATTTCTCAGCCAAAGAGTCAGTGTTGTCTGTAAACACCTCCAAGGTCATGTGGCCAGCATGACTGCATGGAGCGCCATTACATTCCACCTGGAGCGGTACCTTTTGACCTACTCACATTTGCATGTTTTTGAACTGCTAGGTTGGCAGAAGCTGGGGATAACAGCGGGAGCTCACTTCACTCCTCAGATGTGAATCACTGACCTTTGGATCACCAAATTCAGCAGCTCACCTAGGGCTCCAGATTTTTTTTAGTTTGCCAATATTTTCTTAGCAGACACAGATGATGACAAATAAGTATGAGAAATCAGGGGGGAGGTGAGAATTGCAATTTTAGCCATTTTGGGCATAAAACTAATCAAATATCAAACATGGTATTCATGGACCAAACCCATCAGAATAAATCCCAGACATGATGTACAAAGCTAGCTCATAAAAGCTTACCAAGGGCTTTGCACATTCTGGATCTGCTTGTTCATTAGGAATACATTTCTTTGAAAGTTCAGCAATGCCATTTGTAATTTTCATCACCTCTTCATATGTGGCTCTTTGCACATTCTGGGCAATCAATGCACTAAAATAAAACCCAAGAATATATGTAAGTGGACAGTTACCACTAGTGAACTGTGTCATATATGAATGCTGAAAAGAAGCAATGGCGTTCTTATTTAAGGTAGCAAAACTAAAGCTGAACAGTGTGGACTGAGAACATGTTGCTTTGGTATAAATGTAAGGCCAGTTATAGAATCATAGAATCTTAGAGTTGGAGGATACTTGGTGGGCCATCCAGTCCAACCCCCTGCCAAGAGGCAGGAAAAGTGCATTCAAAGCACCCCTGATGGATGGCCACCCAGCCTCTGTTTAAAAGCCTCCAAAGAAGGAGCCCCCACCATGCTCTGGGGCAGAGAGTTCCACTACTGAACGTCTCTCACAGTTAGAAAGTTCTTCCTCATGTTCAGGTGGAATCTCCTTTCCTGTAGTTTGAGGCCATTGTTTTGTGTCCTAGTTCCAGGGCAGTAGAAGAAAACAAGCTTGCTCTCTCCTCCCTATGACTTCCTCTCACATATTTATACATGGCCATAATGTCTCCTCTCCGTTTTCTCTTCTTCAGGCCAAGGCTGAGAAGTGGCATGATGGTTACTACTGACCTAACAAATGTAGCACTTTGTTTAAATTCACTCACTGTTTACTTAGTATGATATTATTATTATCATTCTCTGTAATCATTCTCCTGGTAGCCCCCTCCCCTCTCTAATCCCTTTGTAGATGTTTAGATGAAATCAATAAGGGTCATATCCAGAAACATTGTCCTTTCTTAGACTTACAGATATGTGAATTCAGGAAATGGTTCTCCATGGGTCAGCGATGTAAATCTTTCTGTAAAGACAGTTAGTGTAAAAAACAAAAAAAAAAGGGAAATGAGTTATTTGTGAGATAATGGTGTTGAGAATAACATAATCAAATGTCTGCTAAAATTAAGAAAGCGAATGAAAGAGCCCACTGCAAGTTGGTATGTGGCTTCTAAGGACTATTTCATTTTCTTCTCTCCAACAAGGCAGAACAGTCCTGTGCCTGCACAAAGTTGAATCATTCATGCCTGGACATGCACTGTGATATACAAAGTGTTCCTCATTAAATTTAGTTCAATTAATTAAATAATTATTTTGATGAGGAAGATGGTCACTTCCTCATTTAGGTCAAATTAGAAACTCCCCATTACAAAAAAAAAGAAAGTGAGCTCACATTTCCTTATATGAAGGAAAGGCACTTTCTTCTTTAAGCAAAACCCGACTGTTGTGAAATTATCTTGTCAATTAAAGTGCACATGGAAGTGTGATGATCAGATTTGTCAGGATAGACAACATAAATGAAGGCCAAATATGCCTGGCACCCAAGAAATCTCACTTTTGAGATGTCTGCAAACACTTTCAGGCTTTTAGACATCTACCTTTTTGGAAATAGGATGCAATTGAGCTCCTTGCTCAGATTAGTGCTTGACTCTTAAGTGCTGGAATTCATAGTGCTAGAACGTCCAAATGACTCATGTCTTCAATAATACCCTACAGAAACCAGGGGAGGGTGCTATTGGCAATTTGAAGGACAAACATCATTGCTCCAATTTGTGTTGGTGGAAGAGTGACAATGAGGTCTGATGCTCTCAGGATTCCATGTGGTACAATGCAATCTCCCCATCCTTAGCAATCAACCATTCCTAACCTAGCCCGTAGAGTTGCATATTTGACTGTTCTTTGTACTTTGTGCTGTAAATGAACATGGAGACTTCCTGACAAATAGAAATTTACGAGAATATATAGCATATATCTTGGAACATACCACTTGCAACTGATAGGACATATAATTTAATATAGTAGATTCCTTGCTCTATATTTAGATTGTTTCTCCAACGTAGACAGAAAGCTTCATTGAGATGCTACACCATCTTGAAATTGTCTCCAATATGAATGATCTGCTTTCTCTGTGGGATTGAGAATCATTGCCTAAAATTTACAGAATTGATGTGAAGAAAAGAAACAACACCTGGGAGTATCACCTCTGCTTTCTCCTATTCTGTTCTTACACCCCAAATACTACAGCTGTTTGACCTGGAGAACATCTGGGGCTGTAAAATAAGTCTGCTTCTCATACACATGTCTGTTACCTCAGAAAACTTAAATAATCTCAGTCTATCAAAATAGCCTTCTTTGCCTCTGATACCACCAGAGAGGTATTATCTATTAATTGTCTTTGCAAGTAGTGGGGGAGAAAAGTATCAGTATGGTCAACACCTATGGTACCCATTTGGAAAACAGATCTCTGGAATTGCCACCTATGTTGTTGTTGTTGTTGTTCATTCATTCAGTCGTCTCCGACTCTTCGTGACCTCATGGACCAGCCCACGCCAGAGCTCCCTGTTGGCCGTCACCACCCCCAGCTCCTTCAAGGCCAGTCCAGTCACTTCAAGGATGCCATCCATCCATCTTGGGCTTTATTTCCTGGAGGATGGACTGGTTGGATCTTCTCGCAGTCCAAGGCACTCTCAGAACTTTACTCCAACACCACAGCTTAAAAGCATCTATCTTCCTTTGCTCAGCCTTCCCTAAGGTCCAGCTCTCACATCTGTAGATTACTACAGGGAATACCATGGCTTTGACTATGGGGAGCTTTGTTGCCAGTGTGATGTCTCTACTCTTTACTATTTTATCGAGATTGGACATTGCTCTCCTCCCAAGAAGTAAGCGTCTTCTGATTTCCTGGCCACAGTCTGCATCTGCTGTAATCTTTGCACCTAGAAATATAAAGTCTGTCACGGCCTCCACATTTTCTCCCTCTATTTTCCAGTTGTCAATCATTCTTGTTGCCATAATCTTGGTTTTTTTTATGTTTAGCTGCCGGCTTTTGCGCTTTCTTCTTTCACCTTGATTAGAAGGCTCCTCAGCTCCTCCTCGCTTTCGGCCATCAGAGTGGTGTCATCAGCATATCTGAGGTTGTTAATGTTTCTTCCAGCAATTTTCACCCCAGCTTTGCATTCATCAAGCCCCGCACATTGCATGATGTGTTCCGCATACAAGTTAAAAAGGTTGGGTGAGAGTATGCAGCCTTGCCACCTATATTTATATGGAATTAGAATGAGACACAGCTGTGCACAGTATCATAAAGCAGTCTTACATGCAGTACCTTAGCTCTGACCAAAGCATGTTTTGTTCATGATTGAATTATTAATACCCTTTTTTTGGAGTGGGGAGGAATCATCTTACCCAATAATATCTGCTGTCTTTCTGTCAAGGATTCTGCTTCAGCAAAATTTGCCCAGAAAAGGCAAAACATGCATGTTATCCACTTCATGGTTCTAAGCTGCTTTATTATGGGCTGCACTGTGTGAGGGAGAAAGAGCAATGGAGTCAATGAAGCTTTTATATCCTGTACCCCCATTCTCAGCGAATGAAAAGCCATTCAAAGTTAACGTCAGCTAATAATTCACTTTTAAAAGACTATTCACTCTGTTTGCTAGGAGCACACATTTCTCCCCAAATACTGGCAAACTGTAATAGGAGTAAACAGACTTTGGCCTTATGATGCTAAAAGAAAGGTTATTGATCTCCCCCTTTAAACAAATCCAATATCTCACTCTTCCTTCAGACTGTTATTTGTGTGATGAATTAAGTTATGAATAAACTTAGCTGCTTTGTTATTCTGTAAGTAGGAAGAGTCAGTCTGTTTTTAGTACTTACAGATTGTAATGGCACTGAGTAGGAGGCGGGGAATTTTGCTTCAGAAATAAACTCACCAAAACCCATTTCTCCTTCTTCTTGCCCTTTCCTTCTGAGCTTTTTATTTAGAGCCTGCTTTTTCTTTCTTAAAAGAAACTTATAGCTGATTTCTTATTTTATATGAAAGATATAGAAACAATTGCATGACTACCCATTGCAATGGTGTTAGAAGATCCTCTTTTATTTCATATACTGGCAGTCCCCATTATGAACGAGATTGGTTCTGTAGGTCTGTTGGAATAGGTACATTTAAAGTGAAACTCTCTCTCTCTCTCTCTCTCTCTCTCTCTCTCTCTCTCTATATATATATATATGAGATTGGTTCTGTAGGTCATATATATATATATATATATATATATATAGAGAGAGAGAGAGAGAGAGAGAGAGAGAGAGGGAGGGAGGGAGTTTCACTTTAAATGTACCTATTCCTACAGACCTACAGAACCAATCCCGTTCATAATGGGGACTGCCAGTATATAGGCATTGGACAGTATGGTTTTTTTAAATTTATAGATTTATCAATCATAAATAAAATTATGCAACCCTTGTGGCACAGTAGGTTAAATCGCTGAACTTGCTGACCGAAAGGTTGGTGGTTTGAATTTGGAGAGTGGGGTGAGCTTCTGCTGTTAGGCTCAGCTTCTGCCAACCTAGCAGTTCAAAAACATGCAAATGTGAGTAGATCAATAGGTACCACTTCTGCAGGAAAGTAATGGCACTTCACGCAGTCATAGCAGCCACATGAACTTTGAGGCGTCTATGGACAATGCCAGCTCTTAGGCTTAGAAAATGGAGATGAGCCCACTTCCCCTCCCCCCCCCCAGACTTAGACTCGACTAGACTTAATGTCAAGGGGAAACATGTTGTCAAAGACTTTCATGGCTTGTTGTGGAAACAAACATTGGTGATAAAGTTTTAGTGGAGGCACCTTTTCCCCATGATAACTGTTCTGTCACGCGCTGGGCCTGTAAAGAATTTCCTTTAGTACAGGACGTGCAACCTTTGCCCAGCGGGAAGCCCAAGGAGAAGTTCTCAGAGGTTTTCCACCACAAATGATCGTTAGATGGCTTGTGAAGTATAACAAAGTCTTTTATTAATGAACAATCAAACAGAAACTTCTCTTGTCTTCAATAAAGCTAAACAAATGCTTCCAGGCTTTATGCAACTGGTGGCTTCCTAATCTTGCCCACGAAGGACAGGCAACTGTCTTCAATAACTTCTTCTTTGCTTTAAAGGAAAATCCCTTTTTTAGCTTCTCCCAGGCTGACTGTAATCTAACCCTTACTGATGTGGGCTCCGCTACCAGGTCGAACTGCGTCTTGAAGCACCAAGTGGACCTACCAGTAAAAGTTTAGATATTCTCCAGCTGGAGTTTTTGGTCTTTAGGGCTGTTTTCCTGGAAATCTTTGGAGACTCTAAGACTGTTTCCCCCCGGAAAGTCTTAAGGGTTGAAGCTTTTGTACAGGGGAAGCTTGCACATGTCCTGTACATTAGCTTTCCTTGCTGAGATGAACTAAAAATGTCTCCCTTCCCTTCTCAACTGCTCTGAGCAAGGGGCGGAACCAAAACTTAACGATGATGGACAGGTGGCTTGCCCTACGACTGCAACCAAAGGAAGCCACCTATCTGCAGAACCCCTGAAACCTAGGACTGCAAGCAAACATTTAATACAAATTAAATAAAGTGGGAGCTCCTGGTACTTCCGTACCAGCACAATAACTCTTGCAGGGGTGAATTCTTCATCTGAGGTGTAGGCTTCTCTCACTTCCTGTTATCTCCCCCCATTCTTAACTGTGAGTCATTTGTAAGTCAGATGCTTGTAACTTGAAGACTACCTGTATATACGTAAATATCTCGTAAATAGAACAGCATTAGAAAAGCCACTGAATTTTGGTGGTAGCTGCAGCAGTGGCAGAGGTAGATGGATGTACCAATTTCTGAAGGATTACAAGTCAATTCAGATTCCAGTCTGAAGAAATTGCCCTTCTCTGCTAGACACATTTGCTGTTCAGCAAGGGTAGTTCTACACGACAATAACTGCTTTGGGAGACGACTTAGGAAGGGAAAATGGAGTATTGGTGGACAGCAAAAGAGATTTAAAAATGAGCCTACAGCTAACCTTAAAAAGTGGCATAAACACGGAGAACTGGGAATCCCTGAGCCTCAACTATTCTAACTAGAGTTCAGCTTTTACCAACAGTGCTAGGAATTTTGAAAATGGCTCAAATAAAGGGCGAAAGGGAGAAACACTACCTGCAAAGTGACCCCCGGTGGCACAATGGGTTAAACCCTTGTGCTAGCAGGACTGCTGGCTGAAAGGTTGGTGGTTTGAATCCGAGGAGTGGGGTGAGCTCCCATCTGTCAGCTCCAGCTTCCCATGCGAGGACATGAGAGAAACCTCCCACACAATGGTAAAACATCTAGGCATCCCCTGTACAATGTCTTTGCAGACAGCCAATTCTCTCACACCAAAAGCAACTTGTAGTTTCTCAAGTAGCTCCTGACAAAAAAAACGGCCATCTAATAAGGACACCACCTCAAGACAATTAATATTTCTCCAAAGCACAGTGTAGAATGGGTGAAAAATCTGTGGAAAAAAGAAGTCCTACTCAGCTCTAAAGAGAGCAAAAAATCTTAAATGTGTGGGAATTGAGATGGTGAGACAACTTCCAAAAGGCCAAAGAGGCTGACTGAGGACAGAGAAACCTTGAATAACACCCACTTCTCCCTCATTCCTTGATGTGCTCAACACCATGGTATAATTTAACTTGGCCTCCCTCCATTGAAGGCCACCAAAAATGCTTTCCTCAGCTAGCAATTATATTAATTTAGTCTGATTCAGGTATAAATAAGATAAACACACATGTGCTTCAATCAGCACTTCAAGATATCAGCAGATGGAACTAATAATAATCTTGTAACAGATTTAATTGCTGATGCAGTTAGGATGGCAGCTAGCCAAATACTCCGTTGGTCTTTGGGAGTGATACCATATCTTTTTTTTTGATGGCCTAAATGGGTATATGTGTGAATAATATTGTTTATTTATTTATTTATTTATTTTTTTACTTTGCTTATATACCGCTGTATCTCAAGCCCGAAGGCGACTCACAGCGGTTCACAAACAGTAAAAACAGTAGAAACAGCAGTGGTTTCATGCAACATATAACAATTGACTTAACACATTATCCATAAATTACCAATAAGCAATTACAATGCAATTATTACAAAAAACAACCGTACCCAATCTTCTCATCATCCAAGCGTAGTCCAGGTTCGTCGTCCATTGTTCCATTCCTATGTTCCATTACCAGATTGCACTAAATTACTCAAACGCCTGCACAAACATCCAGGTCTTCACCTTTTTGCGGAATACCATTAGAGATGGTGCTAGTCTAATGTCCGTAGGAAGGGCGTTCCACAGCCGAGGAGCCACCACCGAGAAGGCCCTATCTCTCGTCCCCGCCAGCCGAGCTTGAGAAGCAGGCGGGATCGAGAGCAGGGTCTCCCCGGAAGATCTCAAACTCCTGGTGGGTTCATAGGCAGAGATGCGGTCAGATAGGTAGCTTGGGCCAGAACCGTTTAGGGCTTTAAAGGCCAACGCCAGCACTTTGAATTCAGCCCGGTAGCAAATCGGTAGCCAGTGGAGTTGGCGCAACAGGGGGGTTGTATGCTCCCTGCGCTCCGCTCCTGTTAAAATCATGGCTGCCGAGCGTTGGACTAGTTGGAGCTTCCGAGCTGTCTTCAAAGGCAACCCCACGTAGAGAGCGTTGCAGTAGTCTAAACGGGATGTAACCAGAGCGTGGACTACCGTGGCCAAGTCAGACTTCCCAAGGTACGGGCGCAGCTGGCGCACAAGCTTTAGCTGTGCAAATGCTCCCCTGGTCACCGCCGAAACCTGGGGTTCCAGGCTCAGCGATGAGTCCAGGGTCACACCCAAGCTGCGAACCTGCGTCTTCAGGGGGAGTGCGGCCCCATCCAACACAGGCTGTAACCCTATGCCCCGTTCGGCCTTGCGACTGACCAGGAGGACCTCTGTCTTGTCTGGATTCAATTTCAATTTGTTCGCCCTCATCCAGACCGTCACAGCGGCCAAGCACCGGTTCAGGACCTGGACAGCCTCCTTAGTAGCAGGTGGAAAGGAGTGACAGAGTTGGACATCATCCGCGTACAGATGACACCGTACCCCGAAACTCTGGATGATCCCCCCCAGATGTTAAACAACATGGGAGACAATATTGAGCCCTGAGGAACCCCACAAGACAATGGTTGTGGGGTTGAACAGGTGTCCCCCAACAACACCTTCTGAGATCGACCCTCCAGGAATGACGGAGCCACTGCAAAACAGTACCTCCAAGACCCATCCCCGCGAGGCGTCCCAGAAGGATACCGTGGTCGACGGTATCGAAGGCCGCTGAGAGGTCCAGCAGCACCAACAGGGACACACTCCCCCTGTCGAGCTCCCGGCGCAGATCATCCACTAAGGCGACCAAGGCTGTCTCGGTACCATGTCCCGGCCTAAAGCCAGACTGTGCCGGGTCTAGATAATCCGTGTCTACCAAGAATACCTGGAGTTGTGAGGCCACCACACGTTCCAAGACTTTGCCCAAGAAGGGGAGATTGGAAACTGTTTAAGATATCCAAAGAGGCTGATCATTATTCCAAGCAAATACC